GCAGACGGCAGCAGCTTCTTAATACCTGTGTGTGGCTTGCGACGTGCCAATTGCGCCTGCTGCTGCCGGCGTTAGCGGCATCCTGCAGTGAAGCGCCGGTCTTCAGTCTGGGCCTTGAAGCGGTGCTTGCTGGTACACAAACACCTGCTGGGGCGCATGCTACCACCTCCAGCAACGGTGTACAGGCACAGGGAAGCGGCCAGGGCTTGTTACAGGCAGCCACGACACCATCCAATCTGGGCCTTGAAGCGGTGCTTGCTGGTACACAAACACCTGCTGGGGCGCATGCTACCACCTCCAGCAACGGTGTACAGGCACAGGGAAGCGTCTATGACTCTTTGCAGAGGTCTTTGAGACCGCCCAGGCTGGATGTGGATTTCTCATGTGCTGGTGAGGATAATGCACATGGGCCTGCAAACATCCCCAGCAGTGGCCAGAGTCTGCAGTTGGGTGGAGTCACGGCAGAAGAAGGCTTGCCCTGGGTGCAGGAGGTGGTTGCTAATGGGGTGGTACCGCATGGAGCCACAAGTAGCCAACCCTACCGCATTTCGGACATCTTCGATGCACTTCAACTTCTTTCTATCGAGGAGCGCCTGGAGCTGCGGAAGATGGTAATTGACATCCTGTCTTCACTCCCTGGAAGCCAACAACCAGCTGTATGCCTGGCTGGTACATCACAGCCTACTCCTCCGCCTGAGGATCATGCACACCACGGGAAGGCAAGGGATTACCGCAGAATTGTGACCCGACAGTCTCCAGGCGAGCCACCCACCCTGCAACACACATCCAAGCCACGACCTAGTGATGAGCAGGCTCGCTGTCGGTCATGCGGTACATTTGTGCTGAAGAATTGTCAGTTTGGTATGTGTGGTCGCCACTGTATGGGGCCATGCAGTGCCCATGAACAAAACAGGGCGAAGTCAAAGCGCAAACCAGCAGGCAGTGCACCCAATGGGCAAGAGGTACAGAATGGCCGATGTGCAGGCCAGGAGGATGGTGGACCTGCGGCCGTAAGCATGGTGGAACTGGCACAGGCTGGTGTGGCCATTCCTGGTTTGCTGTCTGCCGCCGCCATGCCGCACCCGCCATTACCTACTGTCGGCACAGTACAGGGCGTCCTGACTGGCCTAACAGAGGCACCACAACATCATATGGGCACATGGCCAGGCACAGCCACTGTCTTGGCTGGGGTGCTACCATCTCTGCAAAGCCAGCGAAATGCAGGGCATGGGGCCGTTGGAGGCAATGGCTTGTTCCAGGGCCCCGCCACGTCTTTCAACCAGAGCCCACAGCAGCAGGATTTCATGCTGCATGCAGAGAGCAGGAGATCTACCAGGTTCCGAGCCCAGCAATAGTAAGAACTCAGGCTGGGGAACATGGAGATGAAGAGATAGGGCCTTGCCTGTCTGTACGGAATGGGGTGGGCGCCATGTGCGGCACAAGGAACGCGAGTATTAGGTTGACAACGTTTGTTGTATGCATGCCGGTAAGGTGTTTTGCAGTTTTGGTGGTGTTTGGTGGAGGCTGCTTCCTGGCCCTCGGAGTTGCGCGAGCTTCAAAGCCAACCCTGACGAGGCCCACGACTGGACCGCCGGTTCAGCCGACCATCCCCGTTTGCCGCGGAACTTTGCCCGTGCGTCCGTTACCGTGTCCTTGTTTGTTCATGAATTGTTTACGGCAGGTCGCGTGGGTGGGGAAGCCTTTTCGCGATGAAGAGATAGGGCCCTTTCTGGATTTATGATCCTCATCATCTAAATATTCGTTCCATTGCCAGGAGTAAATAAATCTGTCCTGCATCGTGAGTTCTGATCTGCATGTACGGTGTTACTCTCATCCTGCGGCAGCGAGCCCAACCCAAGCCTGCGACAGACTCCACTCCCTATCCTTTCAGCCAGGGTCCCATCACCACATCCTTGTCCAAGGCTTCAATTCCCTTCCCTCCGACAGGGTTCCCTTCTCCATCGATACACCGACATCAAGCCCCATCCTGAAAGTACATTAGCAATCCTAGTCCTTGCCTTTGCCTCTAGACTCAATCCTGGCGTCGCTGCCCCACCTGCCCCTTCCCTGACAGATTACCTCAGCACATCCGCACACCCACAAACCCCCACACCCACACACCCGCACCATATTCCCCATCCTGTCTAACCTGTACCCGGCCCCAATATCCAATCTTTGCATCCCCCTGGTGAGCTATCCCACAAACGAGTTCTCCACATGCAGTTATCTTCTGCACTGACACATAATTAATGTATTCACGTTTGCAACGAATTCATAAAAAGAGGCACGCGATACGTCGCGTCTATTAAACGACTGGTGAGCATCCTCAAAACGATCCAAGAATGCCGCACATAGGGAGCTGTCGCTATCCACGTCCAAAAGCATGACGCTGGCATTAAGCCGATACGGTCCCTATGTTCCAAATGGAGAGATAGGGTTATGGGCTGCAACCCGCGTATCCATACGTCAGCTTGCTGTGCCAGTATCGGACTGAGAACTTAAGGTACTGGGACGTCATCTGATCATGACCTATGATTCCTCAAGGCTTTATGTAGATTATAGGGTGCTCATTGCGGTGCCACCAATATTTCCAACATTGATTATTTCACCTTCTCGCCATTACATTCCAATCATTTTACTCATTAAAGGATACTTGTCATTCTTCAGTTGGGAGGCTTATGTTCTCTTGCCAAGTGTGACCTTTGTTGTACGTCACCCATCGCCCTGTATCAAAAAGTGCAAGGCGAAGTGGATCCAGGTCATGCTGAATCCATCGCCCTGAATCCATCGCCCCAACGGCCGGGCGGGAAGAGAATCCGCATTTCCGCGTTTGCTGTACGGCGGAAATTCAAAAACAGATTCCAGGCATGCGTTTGCCATTTAAAGACTGCGTTTTACACTATGGAATTAGATTAAGTCAAATGTCAACAACCACTGGCCCCGACCTGAGGGGCTATATATTAACAGGGTGTTTCCACTGAAACGTTTGTTAGCGACGTTTTTGAAAATTCTCACCCGGCACCTCGCCTTTGCTCACTTTCTTTTGCAATATCGCTTATTCTATATAAATGTATGATAGAAATGAAAAGGGAATGTTGGGAGGCGAAGGAACGGCGAAGAACGTAGGGCCCATGTGGAAACAGGGGCCTTGTTAGCGGTCCAATAAGTCCATAAAAGTTATAGGACCCCGGACCAGCCAATAAGGTCCGATAACTTTGAGCGCGAAAATTTTGTGAGCTCCTTTTTGAAATCTACTTGCACCCGGTCTTCTGTACACTTTGACTGCTTGCCGGCCTGCGCCGTTGACCGAACCGAAAATGTCGCAGAACCAGTCGCCCTCGCCGATTCCTTCTGGCAATATGCCCTCTGCTCTCCATAACGCCTTTATGGCAACGATGCAGCAGCCCCTGCAGGGCGCGCCGTCTCTTCGCTTCGACGCCGATGTCCATGCTGCCGCCCAGGCCGCTTCGCAGAGCATCACCTCCAAGCTGCAGCGCTACAATGTACTATACTGACTACAATACTGTCCTCGAAATAGGGTGTTTTGGCGCTAAATGACGTGCAAAAAGATGGTTTCGGGGCTACTAGTGGAAACACCATTTTGTTAGGGTTTGTTAGCGCGCCAATAACTTTTTCGCGGCTAACAAACAGACTTTTCAGTGGAAACACCCCCTAAGTCTTTTGCGGGCTTATTGGACGTTTAACAAGGGCCTTGTCTCCACATGGGCACCACGTTCTTCGCCGTCCCTCCGCCTTCCGTCAAACCTTTTGCATTTCTATCATTTATTTATATAGAATATGTTATGTTGCGAAACAGAACGTGCAAACCTGACGTCCGGGGTGAGAATGTTTAAAAAGGTCGCTTACAGACTTCCATGTGTAAACACCCTGTAACTTTTGAACATTATCTTTAATGTGGACGGAAGCTAACTTCGCCCACAAATTTATCTGAATTACTTCCATTGTTCCATCGATAGAGAATCAGAATAGCTTTCAGACGCAATTTTAATCGGGGTTAAATAAGATGAAATGTTACGCCCGTCATGGCTGACTGACGGACTGGCGGACTGACTGACTGACTGACAGCAGTGAACCTAGGGGGCTCGGCCCCCCGAATGGCACTTCGCGCCCGGGGCCTCGCCCAAAAATTGTGAAGTCGTAAAGAATGATATCGCTGAATTAAACGGGCCGAGTGCATGGTCCAGGACCCTATAGCTTGCACCGCGTGTCCAGCTAGTCGGGCCCAGGGCGCACTAACATGGCCGCTGTTACTATGCAACGAAACACGGTGAAAGCAGCCAATTCAGGGTATCCTGCACCGGTGAAAATGTGCGGGTTGCATGAAACAGGCGATAAAAGCCCAGGATGGTCGTGTAAAAATGGCGAGGCACAGCCATACCGGGATAAGAACCACATGAAGAAACCGGCTGCGAGCCTTCGCTCCAGAAAAGTCAAACGGGCCACGACCTCCGCGACACAAAACGCCCAGCCCCCCAACAGCACCCAGAAGCCCTAGTGAACGCACGAGAGGAACCCCCTTCCGGAGAGCCGGAAGGAACGCAGCTACCTACCATACGAGACGGACCCGCGAAGCATGCCGAGGCAATCACTCAAGACCGACGGCGGCGCCTAAAATGACCCACACAAGTGGACAGTGGTGACGGATGAGCCCTCAGACCCTCACACGCGAGTACGCGGAACGCGACGAATTCCGGACACTGGCAGGGTGGTTGGGGGTCATCTTGAGTTCGGAAGCGTTGCCTCAGGAAGGCTCGTCCGAACGCTCCAGCTGCCCCACAGACTTGATGTAGCAGATCGGGTCCAAGGAAGGATATTAACGCCAGAGTGTAGGGAACGTGAAGAGCCAGACAAAGCTCTGGCCCATCGGGTGGCCGCCGCCATCGCCAGCCGGTTAGCCGGAAGCCCCTTCCTAACAGTAGTCCTCCATAACAAATGAAGCAGAGAGCTCCGCGATGAAGATGTCGGAGCCGCCGGCAGAGGCAAACCGGGAAATTTCTCTTGGGAAATTCCAAAGACCGCCAAACATCGCGGAAGGTCTCGAAGGAACGCGTCCCGCACAAAACTACGAACCCAAAGGGAAAACCTTTCGGTAAGCCTTTACCCTTCGGTTACCCCCTTTGGTTATCCCCTTCTTCTTCCCCTATAGGTTATGTCCTTGACATCCTAGGGGACGAGCCCCTTCCCTTTGGGGACAAGAGGGTAAACCAGAGGGGGTTGCCTAACCCTTCCCCTTCCGGTTTTCCCCTTCGAGGTTTTCCCCTTCGGAACCCGTACTTGATGAGCCCTTCCCCTTTTTTGACTTGGTGCCATGCCCGGCCAAAAAGGGGTAGGGCTCCCCTTTTTGGGTTTACCTATTCCCTCTAGGAGAACAAACTTTGGGTTCAGGAGGGGGCCTTATTCAGAAAACTCGGCCAGTACTAACTGGCCATACTAACTTCACCGGACATAAATCCTCAGCTAGTACGCTCAGTCATAAAAGAACAGGCTCAGATTGAGCCCTCTGACCTCCTCATTGTATTCCGGTAAACGGAAAAGCACCTTGTTTGCATCGTTGACTGACGAGAAAGGTTGGTTGTCAGGCACGTGCTCCCAAAGTTTTGGCGGGCTGTCCCGGGTCGCAAAAGCAGTTAAATAGGCCCAAAAGTCGGAGATGACACCGTAACCAATGCGATTGGGAGCGGATGTAGGGAAAGGCAGGGAAGCCATCAAGCGCTGGAGCCTGCAAAGGGCTTCCTTATGTTCGTTATCCAACCGAAGTCGCCACATGCGCGACAGTGTCCGACGGGAACCCAACAAGGTGTTGGCCAAGTTCTCTGGCGATAATAAGATATCGACAGCATCCGAAATAAGATCCTCATGTTTCGCATCAAGGCTCCGTAAGGATGGGGCCATCAGCAGTGTCGTGGCAAGTTTAACAGTCAAGTTGAGAAATTTCACAACTACCTGTCCAAACCTCCAACCTAAGCTTTGCACAATTCTTTTCCATTCCTCTTGAGGAGTTGACGCTTCGTGATTCCCATCATTCATAACCACCCTCGCCGTTATGGTCCATAGCGGGCGTAGGCGGTTGATGAATTCCAATATGCGAATTATGCCTGCCGCCCCCGATTGACAAAATGCCGCGTCGGAGTGAGACCTAATATTCGCCGTACAACAACCATACAAAACTGGTTCGTACATTATAGGTGTTGCTCTTCAGTGAGGCCCTGGTAACCAACTGATGACATAGCAGTGAAGCAACGTACGGCAATACCTACAGTAACAAAACCACGCACATTCCGAAGATCAAGAAATAAATCATCCAACTGAGCATCGATCAGCTAGGATTCACCCAAAGCGGGATGTGGTAACAGCAAAAACAAAACATTTGAACACGGCGACAAACAGACATTTGGACATGACGAACTGCCGTACTAAGACAGGTCAGGCGAGCAAAGTATAAAACAAACACTTTATCCTGCCACCAAGAAAAACGTGGCGGTGTAACCTGAAGACTTGATTACCCAAAACGCACAAAATCCTGTCTAAAGAGGTTCGGAAAGGACGACCCCGCCTTCGCCAAGAGTACAGGACAGCAACTGTTAAGCACCATAGATCACAGGTATTGCCGACGCCATGGAGGCAGAGGAAGGTCCAGGCTATGCGGATTTCGGCACACCCGGCGGACGCAGCGACCCACGGGACATTCCGCGGTAAGCCCTGCTGACGGCGCAGTGGGAGGGGCTACAACTTTCCTTCGTTTGAAAGAAGCATACATAGCATACGGAGGAGGAGTTAAATTGCTCATGGACTTCTAATGGCTTGCGCAACCTGGAGAATGAATTCGTCGGCGCGCCCCTCTCGTCCTGACCGTCCTGACTGCTGCTTATGCCAAAGCAGCTGCCTTTCAAGGAAAGCAAACCGGCAAGGTTGCGAAATTGTACGCGCAAACGTAAAAGGAAATGAAACTTTATTTGAAAAAATTAAAGCACAATTGGCGCAAAGATTTGTTGGTCCCAACCTCACCCTCGTAAAGGATAATTTGTACTGTGTCGATCTTCTTAAAGGAGTCCTACGAAGACAGGTCGGCATTATTTCCTTTCCACGTCAGCGCTAGTGGCAACTCAATGTTGGAATGCTTCCTCCAAAATGCCACCTTGACGGCTTGAACGCTCCGGTTACTATATGTGACGCCGTACGAAAACATAAGGAAAGTGATGTCTGTTGGAGGCCTTGAGTCGCTCGTCCGATCCATCCCAGCAAAAGCCAAGCACGCTCCACAACACGGTCCTTTTTCTACCGCTTCCGCCACTCTACCCCCCACCCATCACATCTTAACTCGTAACACCTTAACATCCCCCCTTCGCATCCAAGACACGTCGGAAATCAATTTCGGTTACATTCGGTTATATTCGGTTGCTCCCTCTTCCTCCCCTTTCCCCGTGGTAGGTCCGGAAGGAGGTACCTGTCCTCTCTACCCGCAACCGCGGCGGCTAGCGCCGGTGCGCAGTACGGCATGCTGCCGTCATACTACGACGAGCTGGCGGAGGCGGCGGAGCCGCGGCACAGCGGCCTCGGTGCCGGCACCGCGCCTCCCTTCGGGGGCGGCGGGGGCGGGGGGAGCTCGTGGCCCAGCCACGGTTTGGGCGACGGTTTCGTATCCGGCGGTCGCCACGTGTTGTACTGCGGAGCGGACATCCCCCTGGAGCAGTTGAAGGCGGGCCATTGGCATCACGAGCAGCGGCCCCGAGGCTGTGAGTGTTGTTGATGATTTTTACCTTCTCTTGAGGGTATTTCTTGGCGTGTAGTAGGGGTGCTGGTTTTGAAGGGACTGAATCGGGAGGGGGGGGGAGACATGGGTTTTGGTGACAAGGGCTGAGTCTGTCTGTTTCCTGTTTTTGTGGGTGTTTTAGGGGGTGGGCTGTGCTGGGCTTGTCAAGCAGAGCTTGGCAGTTGAAGAGGTAGGAGAGGAGGTAGGGGTGGAGGTAGGGGAGGAGGTAGGGGAGGAGGTAGGGGAGGAGGTAGGGGAGGAGGTAGGGGTGGAGGTAGGGGAGGAGGTAGGGGTGGAGGTAGGGGTGGAGGTAGGGGTGGAGCCGGAGGCGAGGGGTAGGCAGGGGCGGGGACGAGCGGCTCTCTTGCGCATGCGCTCCCGGGCGACAGGAAAAATCCTCCGCCACAAGCTGGAATGCTGGACCCGGTGCCACTCGGTACCGCGTTTCGATGTGCATTTCCTTCTTCAGCTTGTACGGGGAACCCCGTACGGCATGGGCCATGCCAAGATCAGATCGGCTGTCTCTGCAGCATGTGTTCTGCACCGATGGCCACCAGACTCCAACCAACAACCGACAACTGCCAGCTAACGAATTGATCCAATGGACTATTGGCAGTAACGTACCTACCGACTCGCTTTAACCCGCTTTCACCCGCTGGCGGTGTACGGCGACCACACAGGCGACCCATTGCAAGCCGCAGCTAGTAGCCCCCGAGCCGCACACGCGCACGCACACAGCCAACAGCAACAGCAGCAGATGATGAACCTTTATGAGCCGGCGGGTGCTCTCACGTCGACGTCGCGTGGAGCTGTGTCGGGCCGGGGCGGGCAGGGCGCTGCCTCCAGGGAGCGCGAGATGGAAGGTTTCCAGGGCGGCCAGCGACCCATGGGTCATGAAAGCGCGCCTTGGGCGCCGCCCTTCATCCCTAGGGAGCGAGAACGGGCGGAGCCAGTGGGCGCCGAGATCGTCGAAGATGACGTCGTAGAGGTGGGTAACTGTTGTTCCCGTACGTGATGGCGGCGGCATTGGTTTGGCCGTACGTTTCTGTCGTATTATGTGTGTGCCTCCGCATTGTAGAAGTTGACGCGTGAGGCTGTGAGGTGTTTCGAGTGGCACAGTGCAACATTGGCGCGAATTTTGTTGTGGTAATTGCTGTACCTCTGAGCACCCGCATCAGAGCAAGGTTTCAAAGTAAGTTCACTTCTTAAAGCAGTAATATCGTGAGTTCTTTTGCTTCAAACAACTAACTCTGTCGGAGCGTCTTTTCGTATAAGCAAATAATTGTAGTACAATTTGATGGAATATCCTTTGCCGAAATAACAAATATGAGCTTACTCCGTAACTTCTAAACGCTTAAGGAATTTTTCAAAGCTGTTTACTTCATTGAATACTGCGGTTTGACGTATCCGTAATGCTGTATTCCGTACTCTGTACTCTGTACACCGTACATTGCACATGCACGTACAGGTTGAGACCGACACGCCCGGCGGATATCACGTGGAAGCGACTGTACGGCACCCAGGTGGTTCTAACGACCCCGAGGTCCGTGATTTAAGATCGTGAGGTCGCTGAGATGTGCGCGTGTGTGTATACTGTGTGTGTCTCACACCTTCTGGAGTTGCGTTACTACCCTTCTCCTCAAAGGAGGTGACGTAACGGGAACCCCTAGACACGAGGGCCAGGAGGGAACAGACGGGAACAGACGGGAACAGAGGCCAACCAAACGAGGGCTGTCCAGGCAAGGCAGATATCAACAAACGCATACGGAAAGCTATCATCAGATGAATCATGCAGAAATCAAACTGTATTGTGCATGCATGCATGTGTGTGTGTGTGTGTGTGCGTGTGCGTGTCCATGTTGGGGTGGGTGGGGAGGGGGGAGGGGGGTCGACACAGGGGTGGTTGGAAAAGCCCTTGCTTCCCACGTCACCCAGATGGGTGCATTTCCCCACCCCTCCAACCCTCAAAACCCTAAAACCCCAAAACCCTAAAACCCTGGAACCCCTCGCGGCTATACAGGAGTACGTGGTGGCTGCAACGGCCGTGATGCCACCGACCCACGGGACGACAGGCGGCGGCGCGCCACCGTACTGAAAGATCTCAATCAACCGATATGGTCATCTGCTGACGTACCGCCGTACTTTGTGCTAAAGACGGGAAGGATTAGGGGTCATAGTACAAGGGGCGGGGCCTTGCTTTTGCCGCAAACATAGGCTTGGGCCCCGTAGGGGCTGTCTTCACCTGTTCACCATGGGCAACGTTTGCAAGGTTTCGGAGCTGCCGTACTTTGCTGGTGGCCTGAATTAAATTTACGGTTTGCTTGAGCACGCGTGTTTTCTGGGGCCACCAAGAGACACAAGAGCGTTGCTCACACTACCACCCGGCCAAACAATAAAGCCATTTCGGGCAAAAACGATTAACGATGCGGTTTGCAATTTTGTTACCGTAGACCCTCAAGTCAGGCGTGAGAACTGATACATGTCGTGATGTGGTGTGGGATGACAGTCGTGGCCCGTGCTCGGTGCACGGCACGTTCCCGGTACGGCTGCAGATCCATCCGCGAGCTTGTTGTCGACCCCTCCCATTGATATCGACTCACGCTGCCGGAGGAGAAGGGTGAGAGTGAGGAGAAGAGACAGCAACGAACAAAAGTCCTCGTGGGAAACGCAGGGGGCCCGGATGGCCATGTCGACTTATCTGAGCAGAGGGCACGACATACACCTCGCAACATGCCGCAAGGGACTGCTGACGGCGATACAGAGCTGTGTAGAACGTATTCGAAATGTGCCTAATAGGAGCGTAACGAGGTTGGCTCAGGGGACGGACCGCATAGAAGCGCGAGGAGCGCGGGAAAGCGGTTGTTATTACAGTGGGCGTAGTGGAGCCCGACCGGCTAGTGTGCAACACGCCCTGAAACGAGCGCCACCCGCTCACACCAGCACAATACAGCGCGCGAGGCCATGATGTACCGTCGGGCGGACGTCTTCAACTCAGAAAGGTGGGCTTGAAGGATGCAGATTGGATAACCCACCTTTGGCTGCTGCAATTCCTTACATGCACAGGACCGTTGGGTGCGTTAAGACATACGTGATATGCGAATGAGCGGGTCTGTGGTCCCGTCTCCCTTAATCTGTAACCTGGTGGCTCCGCCGGAGCTGTGACCGTGCTGTGAAGGATCCACGAAAGGAAGCTGGGACAAGCTGCCAAGGGCCCTTACACTGCGTGACTATCTAAGTCAGCTGTTTGAGACAAAAGGGATCAGCAGTTGGCGGCGCAGATGGCGGCGCGCCGGCGGGATGCGGCTCGGTACGCCTCATAAGTACATGGGACGGTCTTAAACGACGAGTACGAACATTAATAAAGGGCCTTTTTCTTCTTCCGTTTCTTGGTCCAGTTTGTATATGATAGAGTGCTTTATAGATTACACCTCACGAAACCCGGGGAAGATCTCCCGGGCGGCGGAAGACTCGGCAATTTTTCATAGCTGTCACTGAAGACGGTTTCGATGGGCTGCATGATTATCAGGTAGTTATCTTAGGGTTTTTTCGTTGAGCACGGCCGCGTACGTAATATCCTCTCCTGATGATAACGCCGTAATAATCTTAGTCGTACGCAAAGTACGCAATGGCAGCCGTGTCCTAAATAAGCAAGGCACCAAGTGCCCGGCCTTGCTCTCGCAGACGTTTCGACAGAGGTTGCCGCCTCCGGGTCAGGTGTTCATGAAAGTTGTAATTATCAGCCGACTATAGGCACAACACGCTCGCGCGCTTGCGCAGATGAGGACTGCCTTTCTATACTTGGTGCCGCAGCACTCTGTACAAAGCACCCAATTCCGGCTGTCCAGGCAAGCGCGGTCCCGACGCTGTCCTCAATAGTAGATGCACCAAGTAAAGCGCTGACGGCCTTTCGTTGTCGGACTTGTTTCAGACGGGTTATACCTCAAAACGCCCAGGTTGAAGAAGGGATTAAGGGTATAAAGGGGCCGTGACATAGGTCGGCTTACATACGGCTGAGAGAAGAGCATTCCACACGCGCATGCCACGACACCGACACCGACACCGACACCGTTTGAGCCGTTCCCCGTCCCCTCAGGCGGGGGCTCCCGGGACCTGCAGGGGCCCTGAAACAAGGTCACATCTGGAACCCCCTCTGGCTCCCGAGTCGCGAATATCCCCCGCCGCTACATTGTCACAGCGAGATTCCCCCAGTCGGGAGTGGCACAGCGGCCGACGAGCGAGGCATGTAGAAGCGCAAAAGGATTTACCGGCCCCCTCGCATCTCGTGTGGAAGAGGAAGACTTAGCTCACTGCAATGTGGAACGTTGCGACACCACCTTCCGAGAGCAAAACTACAACCTCACAGACAGCTGAATCGAGCCACGAAGTTGGACGGTGAGATCCCGGTTTGAGAACTGTGGAAGGATCTGGGCTGGAGCTGCAGTATCACTACCCTCGGGTGACAATCAATTGAAAGAGGGAACACCAGCCTCCTGTCGGAACAGAACTCCATTCGCAAGGGACGCAGGAAGCCGTGGTTGCGAATGGCACTTCGCAGCCGAATAATATCTGTGGTGCCGTACACAACCTGATCTGCAGATGTGGGAAGAAATAGCTACTAGGTATTCGGCCGATTCAACAACAAAGTCAAAAGAATGTGACTAATGACGAAACCAATCCGCCTTGATAGAACGACCGTCCCAACCGCGCCACACACTCCATTACCTCCAAACTTAAGCTGCTGTCTCCTCTGCCCCCGGACATCGCAAGGACTTCGCAGCCCACCAACAGCTTCGTGCCATAGGCCGCAGGCTGGGCAAGACAAAAAAGACAAGAGGAAGGAGTGAAGGAAGTGAAGGTTATGAAGAGGAAAGGTGGCCTGCTCAGGGTTTCCGGTTGCGTATGACCTTGGTGATTTTTCGATTCCTCATTTCCAAGAGCGGTGTCAGCACAGGCCCCGCCGCCGCCGCCGCCGCCGCTCCTCAAGCAGCACGGCACATGACAGCACTGCCGTCAACAACAATCCATAACCTATTCCCAAATGCTATAGTGTTTTTTTACACAAAATACATTTTCCGCATTTTTTGAGTACCGTTGCGTCACTTTTGAGCCTCCAATCGAATCGAACTCCTTCAGCGAGGAGGGAGGGGGAAAAGGAAGGAAAGATGGAGGACTCGCGCTCATCGCTTATTCAGAAAGGGCTTCCAGATATGGGCCAACAGATGTGGACAGGATCGCTCCGCGGGGGCCTGGGCCAGCTGAGGCAGCTGATGCCACGCACACGCACACACACACACACACACACACACACACATGCACACGCGCATACACACACACCCGCATACACACACACCGCGCGTCTCGTCCGACCCGCACCTAAGCAGGCAACACGCAGCCACCGTCGACCGACCACCGTTCATCACACACAATCTCACGCCACCTTCCCAATCCTCCTATCCTGCCTGTTTTCACCCGCGGCCTCTATCCCACCCACCCACCCAGGCAGGATTATCCCTCAGCCGGACACGCAGCGGATCGTCTCGTTAGGGAGAGCCAGATGGGCCTTACGGTAACGCGACCTGACTATACAGGACTGGCTTGGAACCAGCCCACATCTTTCACTACGTCCAAATTTAAAACCTAAGACCCTTCAATGAATCAGCTCCCGAAATCCTCTGGTCGGTCCACTGCCCAGCTGTATGTGGCGGTCGCCAGGATCGACTGCATGGGTGCCCTTTTCGTAGACCCCCTTCAGCTTATTACGCCACAACCGCCATTGGTGTGGGCGGCAAATAACTTGTAATTGTGGTGCTAATAAGTAGCAAACACACAGGGGGCAAAATGTCCCTCAACTCCTCATCTAGCCAGCCCCCCAATACACTCACGTCAGCAACCTCCGGCGGCGGCATACGCTCTAGTAGTAGCACCTAGGTATGTTCCTATGTCGGTATGTATGTCGGTAGGCAGGCGCTGATAAAAGGAAGTGGGCCGTCCACCATACGGGCGCGCTTTCCCCCCCCCTACCCTGTTTTCCCTCCGCATCTCAACGTAAATGTGTGATATGTTGAGGATTGCGATGTGCGGCGATGTGCTGCTCCTTGCTTGAAATCTGGAACCGCCGCTCCGTGAACCCCGTGCGACCATTCCCCTCAGCAGCTCCCGCTGCGCGGAGGGGCTTGCGAGCAACACACGCTGGTGGGAATGGGGCTTACGAAAGGTCGAAGAATATTGCAGGTCTGTTGGGCCACGGTTGTGAAGTGAAGGGCTAAAAAGGCGAAGACATGTGGGGCGAAGCAGGGAACGAGGCAAGGAAGGCTGTGACCGCACACACTAGTAGGTGAAAAGCGAACGCCGCCGTTACGGTCCTTCTTTTTCTCAGACAACAGAACATAAAATACAGCACACCAACACCACGTATCACCCTCGCCACTTCCTCCTCGCGGCTCAGATCATTAAAACCGCTACCAAACAACGCAGCACATCATAGCTCAGCGCGCAGCAAGACGTCAACGAGACACATGAGCTCTCTCGTTGCACTCCCGGCTATACCACCTACCCACCCATCCATACGACCGCCGAACAGGACTGGCCCAAGCAGTTCATCCAGGCAAGCGGGCTGGTCACACGATACTTCTCATCATTCTTGGGGGAGAAAGGCAGGGCGGTGGATAGGCGGGCTGGTACGCCACGGCATTCCCTAACATGCCATCTTCCGGAGTCAATAATTACTGCCGTCAGACCGGCAAATCAATCAACCGCCAAATCAACCAACTTCTGGCTTTAAAATAGGATTTCCTTCAAGTCAAGGCCCTATGAAGGCTTGCCGGACCGCAATCCCAAATCCACGACCAGTAAAAGCGCGTCCTCCACCCCATCCGAACCAAGGTCAGGGTTATAATCTCGAATATGGCTGTTTTAATGATGATGATTTTTGACGATGTCAAAATATACCACACTGCTCTAACGGATGTCGATGCCTGTTTGTCTGTATGTCCATCCAGAAGGGTCAGCGAAGGAGCGCACAAATTGCGGCCCCTATGTATGTATGTATGTATGTATATATGTATGTATGTATGGATCTGTCGCCGCCCAACACTACCTTCATGCGCACCTTTTCACCGCATCCATCACAACCACCTTCCATCACCACTACCACCACTGAACCACAATCCAACGCCGCCATAATAATTCCAGTGCAGCAGGACAGGCACAATGCAAGCATGTGCACAACCTTGGCGCTGCCTTTAAGGGCCCCTCACTAAGGTATAAATCAATCATCACAGCAAACAGTAACAATCAAGCGTGCAACCCCAAGGTTGCTTACTTTAAAATGTCCTTTCACCTAGCTCACATGGAGCTGTTAATCGTCGTCCTAAACTCACGCAAAATCACACAAAAGACTTTACCGCGCCGTACTAAACTGTAGTACACCGTACTGTGAGCAGGGCACGCTTTTCAGGACGTGTTCGTATTAGCTCTCGAGCACTGGAGGGGCGCATCAGCTGTTGCTAAGAAACAGTAGCAGCAGTAGTGGTAGCAACTTGCATCAGGTAGTTGCTTTAGCACGTTGTGAATTAGGAAGCTGTATGCTGTGACAGCGCCAGCGACAAAACAACGACATTGTGGCTTAACGGCACAAGAATCCATATGCCGCACAACCCTAATGAAACAGCTAGAACCCTTCACACCCCGAGTAGGGCCATCGCAATTGGGTCGTTGGCTTTAGATCTGACGGTTGTATATTAGATGGATAGTTGTATATTAGATGGATAGATGGATAATGTCAAGCCACCAAATTCCAGTAGTGACTGCGGGCGCTGCGAGACTGCACCTTAAAGCCTGAGAAGTGGGGGCCACCTGCGAAACAAGGCGGGTGGCACTGACACTGGCGGCAGCCACATACAGCCCAGTGCCGCCCGCCTCCCCCTCCGCCCCCTGCTTAAAGAAAAGCTCCGGTAGGAGTAAGTAAAAAAACACCTGCTGCGAACCGCATCCCTGCGACTTCGAAATGTCACGAGGCACTGCCTGCAGCGTTGCACACACTATCACGCAGCACAGCACCGCACCACCGTCGTACCATGGAAACGCTAACCTCCGTACAACCGGGGCATGTAGGAAAAAACCCTGCCACAGCTCCTTAGCCGTCATATATGTCGCCTACCTGCCGTTTTACGAATTTCCCCTCGTGTACATACACACATACATACATACGTACATACCCGCCTGACGACCTGCACTCGCCTGCCATTAACCTCACTCCACCTACCGACTCACATCAAACAGATCAGGGAACTCTCCACTTCTTTCTTTTCTTTTCTTGCAACTTCCCGCTGCGACTTCGTTCGTATAGCCCATCATCATCGCTATTACCAGCCTCAATCCTGTTCCCTTCCTCCTGCTACCCTCGCTCGCCAGTCCCTTTCTGCAGGTACCCGTCCCGCCCTGTCCTAGCATGCAGGACCCCCGTATTTCCTGGGGGCCGGCGGCAGCAGCAGCAGTCGCCGCCGCAGCAGCTGCCTACCGGACCCCACCCAGCGCTCAGCCAAGCTCTACAATCCCGCTAACCAAGGGCGAGACGACCCCGATGACGAAGGGCGAGAAAGGCCGGGGGTAAGAATGCTCAAGACATCTTAGGAAAAGACAAGCGTCTCAAGCGCACAATCACGATGACGATGACGTCGATGGCGACGCACAACGGTGATGACGACGGTATTGCCAGCCACTGGGCAGCAGCCCCGGTTGTCGCCCGACTTCAGCCCGGTGCAGGTTAGATGGCGACCGGTAAAGCCTGGGAGGGGAGGGGACTACATCGGGGGATCAGGACCGGGACACCCATGCGGGCCTGGGCCCCGCTGACGGCGGCGGTTGCGGCGGCGACCGCGCTCGGCATTGTGGACAAGCGCAGGAGGGTGGAGGTGGTGCAGTGGACACCAAGGCCGCTGCCGCTACTGGCTCGTCCGTGCCTCTTTGCATGCCGTCATTAGTCGGGTGGCAGCCGGGGCCCCATCCACGGACATGCATGGGTGCACCGGCCGGGGAGCTGCCCGGCAGAAACACCTGCGACCGCACATCGTGACCATGACATGTGCTAGGCTGCTGGCCATGTTGCTGCGGTTGCTGCTGCGATTGGGGGGAGGACGGAGGCGGCATGGCCGCCACCGATGGGGGAGGATGAGCCCTTCGAGGGACAGACCCGTGAAGCAGCAGCCGCGTCTGCACCCTAGGCACGCCGCCGGGGACATAGCACCCAGATCCACCGCCGCAAGCAGCAGCGACGCCGCAGCCGTCGGTGGATGCAACGAAGTGTCCCGAGGCAGGGGAGCATGGAGGAGAGCAACCTTGTTGCTGATGGAGTAAGCCATGCCCGACCTTGGGCCAGGTCATGGAGAGAGCTGTGGAGGGCTTCAGCTGGATGGTTAAGGAACCCGTGTCCGGGAACGTCTGCACGGATTTCCCTGTGCTCGAGTTTGGGTTGATTCTGCTGCCGGTGTGCGTGTCATCCTCCCATAGGAGTGGCGGCGGCGGGGGAGGCTGCAGCGGCACAGCCACAGCCACAGCCGCAGGGTCGCTGAAACGCGCCGTGTACTCGACATGTCCGAAAAGACAAGGTCCCGGCTGCTCTTCCACCCGCCCAGGCTGTGAATGCTGCCGCGGCAAGGGTGCAGGCTGCCGCTGTGCTTGCCCACGGTATTGCTGCTGCTGCTGTTGTTGTCGCGGTGGTAGAATCACTGCGTGCGCTTTGGCAGCGGCAGCAGCGGCAGGTTGTCCCTCCGCGTCTATTTGCGGTGAGGATCTGTGGCTACGACTACCCGGCACAGCGGCAGCAGCAGCCGCGGCCTCGGGCGCGGACGGGCATGAAGATGCTCTTGGTGAGCATGCCGACGAGCCCTGGGACGACATCCGGCCGTGCATCTGCTGCCGCTGGTGCAGCTGCTCTAGGCGCTCTGGCCATAGGGCCGAAAACATCTTCTGCGGGTGACAATGCTGCAACTGAGGGTGCTCGTGTCGCTGCGGCTCAGTCGAGCGTTGGTCGCCTGGTCCTGCGCCACCGGCTGCGGTGCGTGCAGCCGACGCATCTAATAGCAGGGCTACCCCTGCTGGCGGCTCCACAGCTGCCGCACCGGCGCCTGCGGAAGTATCGGCCTCGGGGCCTTGTTGAACGACAGCTGCTCTTCCTCCAGCAGCGGAAGCAGTAATAATAGCAGCACTAGAGATAGTAGGGCTGGGAGTGGCGCCGAGGGGCCTGGTAGGGCCAGCGTGGGGGGCCCGCGGAGGCTGATAGGACGATTGGCCTCCGGGCCGAAGGAGACATTCTCCGTGCGTGGCCGAGGGCATTTCCAGTAGAGATGTCTGGCGGCGGATGCTGCAGCACAGCTGCGAATGACGCTGATGTTCCACGTCCCGCGTGATTGAGCTGTTGTGGCTTACAGGTAGGGCCGGCCCGGCGGCCAAGGAGTTGTGCTCCCACTGCGGGTCGCTGACGTTATTGTTGCTGCTGCTGCTGCTGCCGGACGTTGGACACCCATTGGCTGGCGGCTGGCATGCACGGGCTGTTGCTGCGGCTGCTGCCGAAGATGATGAACAGGTGCCGCGGCGGAGCGAGCTCTGGGACGGCAATGGCGGCCCCGCCATGTGGCGGACGTGAAGCACCCGATGCGGACTAGATGGCGCAGCAGCAACAGCAGCAGCAGCAGCGACAGGTGATGCAGAACACGGAGACTCGTAAGATACTACCGCTGCCGCCGCTGGTAGCGGCGGTGCCGTACCGGCAAGGTCCCCACCGCCAGGCTCCCAGGAGGATGCCATCGGACGGCTGCGTGCACCCACGAGTGCCGCCGTACCACGAACATGGCGCCCGTGCATTAAGTACGGCATGTACGGCAAGTGGTGGTGCATCTGTTTCGAGGACAGCCGTGGCAAAGGTGCTGCTGCTGATGTCGCCGTGCAAGATTTGCAGCGGCATGACAGCGCCTGCGGGGTTGGCGGCAACATCGCCGGCGCTGCCGCTGCTCCCCAAGGATCGCGAGGAAGGAGCAGAGATGCTGGAGTGAAGACATGGGGGGAAGCCGGCGCGGGTGGGGGAAAGGCGGCCATCTCCTTAGGGCCCGCTTCGCGCAGCGATACTGCGGAAAAGATTGCAACGGACTGTTCCGCTCGAGGCTGTGCGGTCTGGAGGGCGACCCCTTTCGTGCCGACTAGGGTGGCGTCAGCGCCGCCGCCCCCGGCAGCAACAGCTTTATCGGCGCCGCTAAAGCCCCTACTGCCCGCATATCGGCTGCATGCCGGGCAGCAGTAGGCTGATAACACGTTGGTTTTACATGGTAAAGGCGGTGAGGACGGCGCATGACTGTGGTTGCTGGCAAGACCGTTGCCGTTGCCAGGGCCGCCTGCATGCACCTGCGCATGGTGACTGGTGGACGCGCGCAGGGCATGAGCAGCATTGGATGGTGCAACGGCGTCGGCGGCACCAGGACCAGGCATACAGTGATGGGCGCCGGCGTCGGCGGCTCTCCAGTCAGGCGGGGGCACTGAGGCGTCGACGGCGGTAGACCTTCCGCAGGTGGTGGCGCGGCGCGGGCTGCCGTCGACACAATCACAGCTCAATTGCGGAGGTCTGAGGTGCAGGTGTTGAGTTGAATGCTCTGAGGGCGTCGGCGGCGCCTTGGGTGAGATAGGTTGCGTTCCAATATCGGCAGTGGCCCCGGAGGCATGCGGCTGAGGCTGGCGCTGCGATGGTGGTCCCAGGGGTCGCGGTGCCCACTGACCCACGGGTCGCGGTGCCTCCAGGTCTGCCGGCGTCGCCTCAGGCAGCTGTACTACCTCCCACAGAGGCCCGCAGCGGCCCCCGGGCGGCAGCTTGCGGCGCGAGTAGCGACAACAACACGTGGTGGACGCCTCCTGGGCCGCAGGTGCGGATGGCGAAGCAGCGGCGTGCCCACCTTCCACACAGCGCCGTTTTATTGGAGTCATAAGCTGGTCCTGCTCCTCTTCGCAGCTGCATGGCCCCGTTGGGTCACCAGTACCAGCCCTGCCTCCAGCACCGCCGCCCTCCAATCCGACATCCCCGGGACCACGTGTGGTTAGGACACAGGCGCTGCTGCTGCTGCCCCCTCCTCTGTCCCCCCGTTCCCCACCGGCAGCGGTGCTACTGCCTGACCCGGCGCACCCCGCTTCGTCGCTGATCTGGAACGTCGCCTCGGCGGTGGCGGCCGCTGGACAGTCCGAAGTCGGGTGGCGTTGACTGATGTTGCTGCTGCCGCCGCCGCCGTCGCCGTCTCCCGCCCCGGCGTCCATGGAGGTCGAGACGGCGGAGCTCAAACCAGCTGCCGCCGGCGTGGTGGCGCGTTCGGAGCACTGCTGCGCAGTCGCCATGTCGGAGGGTCCGACGGAGGGCGGGGCCGGCTCCGTACCTGCTGACGGTGGTGCCACAGGTGCGGACCCGCACGTGTCCATGCGAAGGTCGCTGCTGCCCCCCGGGCCGCTGCTATGCGCTGCTGCCGCTGCCGCTGCTCCGGAACCGGAACCGCCGTCAGTCGCGGCGTTGCCAGCGCCGGCAAGGCTGCTCGAGTCGCTAACGTCATCATTGTCGCCATCGGGGTCCTCTTCGCTGTCATAGGCGCCTTCTGCAGGGCGACAGGGCAACGGCAGCGTCAATGGAGGCAACGGTGACTTCGCGTCGCGGTCAGCTGCGGCGAAGGGCAAGTGGTGAACAGCAACGGGCATAACGGCAATAGGCGAACGCAGGCGATGTATTGACGCCATGATGAAGCTCCCGCGCCACGCAGCCAAAGGAGGTCGAGAAGGAAAGAGGAGCAGCGGTTTGTAGCCGCGGCGGACAAATGAGCGCTGCTTGTGAACACACTCTCATCAGAGACTCCGTTCAGAGAGTACGTAGCCCTACCGCCACGTTGCTAGGCAATGGAGGCGCAGGCCCCGCTGTTCATACTGTCCATTTCGGTAATGGTGATCCGTCTATGGCTCCTTCTGCCAGCCAGTCCGAGCCTCCCAAGCTACCAACCAGCCCGTGCCGCCGCCCCCACCGCTTGTCAGTGCTCACCTGCCAGCACTTGATCCTCTGGGTCCAGCCACAGCATGGCGGTGCGCGTCCCTCGGCATGCGTCCGGCTGAGGCAGGGGCAGCAAACATGCCTTCTCCTCCTCCTGACAGCCTGCTGCTACTGCTACTGCTACTGCTGCTTCGGCGGCGGTGGCTGCTGCAGGGTGCGGGTCCTGGGGAAACGATGCAACCCAGACATGTACGAGTGTTACGGACGAAGTGCACATGGGCACGGGCGCACATCATGCGGCAAGGAGGAAGTCAGACAGGAGCGGGGGAGGAGGGAAGAGACGAGGACGGGGGCGGGCCTCCTCCAGCACGGAACCGCAACCGCGAAGGAGGCTGCGATGCAGGTACTGGTCTGCCGGTCTATACATGTTTTTGAAACAAATGCAGCGCGACATACATATGGAACGCAACTAGGGTACAGTAGGCAAAGTACAGGTAGGTAAGCACTGCGCAACCATGGATGATGGGACATTCGGTCATGCTCTTGAGCTGCTCGTTGCCGCCGGCTTCAGGATATCGGAGGATATCGCCTCTCCTTCTTGTACCACATACAGAAGCAGTATGACGTCAGACGGCAAGCAACCAGGAATCCACATGGCGAAGTATAAGCATTGGATGGGGCTGGCGGCCGAGCAAGCGGGCAGGAAGGAGGTGCTCCCGCACATCACAATGTTTATCCCACGTTCGGCGAATCGCAAGCTTATGCAGTTTAGGCTTTGCTGTTGGGCACTGGCGGCTAACAGAGCGCGTAAGGGACGGCGTTATATACCTAGGGAGGAGCGAGTATGCCCTTGCTGCGGCACTGATAGCCATATCGAGGATGAGAAACACATTTTGCTGGACTGTCCGGTTTACGACGAAATCAGATCTGATATGGGCTTTCCACGCTTCGAACATATGAAGGACGCTATGAAGTGGGAACCTGAACGCCTGGCAAGGATGCTGGAACGTATATGGTCTCACCGCAACTCTATCGTTCCCTTTGGTCGTTAGTATACTTCATCACTTGTCTCGTTGGAAGTGCGAGGTAGGATGGTGCTTATAGGCGATTTGGCAGCCCTTGAGCCCTCGGCTCGTACTAGGGTGGTTTGCAGGTACGGGGAACGCACCCACGACCATGTAACAACAACAACAAGAAGCAGTATGACGTGGGAGCGGCGAGCAGTTTGATTGGGTGCGCGGTATACACACATCACACGTCGCTTTGTGTTGTCTTTTCATGCACATGTATGCACGCTATTGCGCGCAAGGTTGCAGTTCCTGCGGTACCCACTTGTTCGCTGGGGCCACTCCGCACTAAAGCCGTGCACTCCTTTCCGTGCGGCCGCGGAGCAGTCTCTCGCGAGAAGCGCGAGCGCGCGGCTGCAGTGGCGGCGCGCCGTCCGCATGGCGGCAGCGCCGAAGCCGAACCTGTGCAAAGCAAGGAGTCGTGCCGTAGTTAGCCATGGTAAGGTAATGGGGGCCCCGGCGAACTGCACTGCCGCCGGTGCAGGGCCCGAGGAGTGAATATGGCCATGAATGCGGGAATCGAACCCGCGAGCGCGGGACGCTTGGCGAAGGGGTTTAGGAAAGTGAACCGACGAAGGGGTATGCGGATACAAACGGCACACAAGAGAACGTAGCTTAATCGGCAATATATTCTCCTGGCTGGCTGGCTTTAGGATGAGAAGGAAGGGGCTGGTTGGGATAGGTTCAAACAGGGCAGACCTGAGAACGCTGACTACTACACTCTTGTACTATGCAGGCAACTCCTATGATGGGGTTCGCATATATTGCATACAAGATGACGGTTGCAAGTATTTTTCTCGTCGCGCAACGGTGGCGCCAACAAACCCACCTGCAGGTAGCTCGGACACAACATGTGAACCCGAGCGAGGGAACATTTCATACGCGAAGCTTGCTATTTTTAGTAGATACACGTAGGGTCTCCAGTGCTTATCAAGAAGTCAACTGCACCCGTGCAGCCCGCGCCATCGCCTTCGGGATATTTCAAATCGTGGTCTCAAGGTGATCGAACCGGCCCCAAACAAGTATGTCGCGGTGTTATCACCCTCAGCTGATAAACTAAGTCAGACTTGAAGGGTGGGCAGCATGAAGTCCAACGCCTCGGCCTGAAGATAGATATAGATACAGATATATATATCCCTCAAGTCCTGCAAAGAGTAACAGGATTTACAAAATTGGATGCCGCCCGCACCCGGCAAGCCGTTCGTGCGTGCGCTTGCAAGCTGGCGACAACCGCAGCTCGCTCACTGAGCTGACGCCGCAGTTAAATAGCCAATCTTTATATAGCATACAGACATTGCAGTCTCGACTAGAGAGGTGTACTGCTGGGCGAAATTTGCGGGCGGGTGCGGCCGACTAACAGTGTTCGCTAGACATTTTTGAGCTCCTGTCAATGGTCCAAAAGTTTGAAATACTGCATTTTGGCTGTATAGCTGCTTTCGGTATGCTGCTCGAAGGAAGGATACGAGCATGGAATTTCCTGGTCAAGTCAAAATCTGTATGCAAACGTGACATCTCTCTGGTTTATATCTAACATTGCTCTTCGCACCCGAGAGTATAAATGTTACGCAGGGAATTCAAGACAGCAGCATCTATTTCAGAAGTTGTTGCCTCAGTCCGATGATACCTTCGGCGAAAACAGAAAAATCCTACTTGCATGCTTTGTGTGATGGACACATTGTGCTGGAATCACTGGTACTAGACGTCAACGGCAGTGCCTCCAGCGTAACTATTCTTCTGCCTGTTGGTAACCGTAGTAGCGCTAATTTTGGCGTGTCGAAACTCAGGCATCCTCCGTCGAACCCGCGTGTGCGACGTAAGCTATGTACTGTCTTTCTACGGTCTGGTCTACGGCATGGACGTCTTATCGCTAGTCCGCGGTAACGTCTAACGTGCACGCAGACAGCAATCCCTTTGCTAGCAAATTAAGCAGGCTGCTTGAATGTTGCACATACAGTCGCCTCCGTGGCGGCTCTGCGTGTACAGCGTCCGTATGTGTCAGCGCGCCAGCGCTAAGCCGTAAATCCGGCTCCACATTCTGCGTTACAAGACTCGAATAGTTTTTAAGTCGAACGCAAACATGGCAACGAGCCCCCAAATGCCAACTGTTAGCAAATGCATGTTGATTAAGTGCTCGTCCTGTAGTGTAGTACGGCAAGTGCGGCGCGGGAGGAGCAGACCGGAATTGGCCAGAGGACAGTGACTGATACGGTAGTGCGTTACAAAGATTAGCTGGGAACAAAGCGCTGAATCCAGACAACGCTAGTTCGCCAGTCAACCGTGCAAGCAAGCGCAAGTCAGAACGTCGTCTGTTGGGGATTTTGAATTGTTTAAATAGTGATTTACTTTGTATTCGGGACCCAGCTCAATAGTAAAATAGATAAGGCGATTTGACGTTGCTGGCATATCGGTCGCCAGTAACAGCGAAGTGATGGCAGAGCGCGAGCAATCGCGCGGCGGAGGCCAAGAAGGCTTGGAGGACATCCTCCAACAGCGGGACGAAGGAGGACACCAGAATGGCGGAGCACCTAGTTACCCGGAGGGGGCCGATGCGGTGAGTAACAGACGCCAGCTATTGCTCCGCGCGGTCAGACTGTAGGCACAGCCAGCCGCCGCAAGTTCTGTTATATCAAAGGCATGGGAGAGACCGGACCCAGTTTTAAAATAGCGGGAAAGGGATGCGCCGCCGCTGTTGTTTGACCAGGCTGGATTAGAAGCTACGGGTCAGGCTTAGCTTATGAAGAACACGAATCTGTAGACCGCGAGTGGCCGACTCAGAGTATTAGTGCTCGTGAGGTTGGGTCCGTTTCCGGTGGATGGCGCCGCGGCAGAGGGGTAGTGCTT